CTAGTATAGTAAGGCCAGGAGCCCCTAGTAGCGTCCTTGCTCCTAGTTGTAAGGCCAGGAGCCGCTAGTAGCGTCCATGCTTGCAGTAGTAAGGCCAGGAGCCCCTAGTAGCGTCCTTGTCGGGGGCATCGGATCCAAGTCAGGTTGGATGGTATGTGACATGTGGAGTTGTTTCAATCATGGGCATCCGGCTGGTTGGTGTTTCTGGTTCGTGTTGACCCTGTTCCTGGGGCTATTGTTCAAGCATAATTATCACGCAGGAATTATGGAGCAAAGCAGCTTCATTGAAAGTTTTGGAAGCAAAAGCTGCATTTCTAAACATGTGGTTCATGCGCCAGCAACACCAGATTTCGGCAGTCCACAAACGACCCACTCCCATGCTTGGCGGCTGAACCCAACTCTCCCAAGATCCCTCTCCACGCTAGCACAAGTGTAGCCCAGCCCAGGTGTCCATCCCTGAAGATTGACGATGAAGCCAGCAACCGCTGAAAAGAACCAGAGTGCTGAAAATGCAGCGCCGACAAATGTCAGTAATAACATAATGAGCGTCAGCATCAAGGACCAAGAGACAGAGTAAGAATGTGAATGCAATGAAACATTGATATACCAAGTTCCTCAAAACTGCTTTCAAAAGCCTTAGGGTGATCGGGATTAACCATGAATAAGTCTAAGTATGATGAACCCAGTCGGAGGCGCTCGAAGATCATTCGTCAGGTGAATTTCATGAAAACTACACTCCTTGCAAACAAATTGTTTTGCTTGTTTTGCGGTTTGTGGCAGGAGTAGTGGATGGGAAAGGATTCAACGATCTAATCATTGGTTGTAACTATTGGTTGTGCTTTTTCTGCAAGCCGTCTTGTTTAGACAATCCTGCTTGCATCGGAGCAAGCAGGTTCCAGGTCCTCTGGCGGACGAGCCGCTCGGGCACGCAGGAGAGCCAGCTCGACATCTTTCCTTGCTAAGTCCACCATGCAGGAACTTCTAAATGTGAGAAACGTGGTGGCAAATGCACATAAGCATTATAGACACGTTTGCATTGCTTTGCCCCTTCCCCTCTTGTCTTCGACCTCTTGCTACATTGCACGATTGTTACAAGGGAAAGCCCAACATGGTTCAGATTCATGGACAAAACATCATAGCCCTTGGTCAGATTGGTCACTCAAGCTGCTGCCAGAACCAAAGCCCAAACACGACTGTGCTATCTTGGAAGGTTTCGAGTGGATTGTTCTTGGGGGCTTCTAGAAACACTTAGAAGAAGAAGCAAAAGAAAAAAAGTAATATAAGAACACTACCTCTTCTAGCGGCCTACTCCCCCCAGGGCTTTTGAACAATTGATTTGGTTATATACTAGACTCTTAGACTTGAGACTGCTTTCCAAGTCTCTGTGTGAGGTCCCGCTCCTGCTCTTCCAGCTGCCGCTCTAAATCTTGGATGCCTCAATCTGATCGCTCTTGGGTTGGAGGCCATCGCTATTAGGTTGGAGACCTGACACTCGACCTCCCTGGCTGGTTCAATTCACTGCACAGTAGAAGGATGCTTGAGAAAAACTTCAGTCTGGGGATGGTTGGCCTTCGGGGATCAGATCATGGAACTGCCATGTTCAACTGGAACTGCGTCACCCTGTTTCTTTCTGATGATCGGACTGATCGCTGCCATGCCACGAACTTCCTTTGCCAAGAGTTGTCTTCCAAAGTCCACCACCTCAGCGCTTGAAATCGGGAAACCGTCCACCACCTCAACAGTCCCCCACCTCAACGCCGGGTTTTCTGGTCACCTGCAGACTTTCCACCTTGCTGCCTTGGAGGTTTTGCAACTTCTCCATTGTTCTACCACCTTGCTGCCTTGGCACCTCTAGAATTCCCCAGCTGACCTGCAAAACACACGCTCCCCGAAAAATGCTCGAAGTGCCAGCATCCAGCCCTTTCACTCCTGCTTGGACAAGGCTATGTAGGCACCTAGAAGCGATGGCCTCCATTTTACTGCTGTGCACCCTGGAGATAATGCACCCTCTATACTTCGCGCGCTGGCGGCTCACAAACGTCGCATGCACCATTGGACGGTTCTTCCGGAAGCCTCCTTGCATAGCCCAAGAAAGATTCACCAACAACTACCCGTTGATCTTTTGGTCAGGTACATGCAGGATAGTACCAGTCTTCTTTTTCCATCTCCAGCCCATGTCACAATGTGACATTGTTTGACACCGTCTCGCGGTCATGTCGCCTGCTGATCCTGTTCTGCCACGCGAGCTTCCAACTGAGCAATTCGTTGGTCCCGGTCACGCAAGTGGTGACCAGCTTCACTGAGAAAGGCGATCTCCGCCTGCCACAGGTGAACTTCTGCAAGCTTACCTGCTTCTGCCACTAGCAAGTAGCGATGACTCCCACCCTAGTAGCTTCTTGTTACTAGTCGTAATGCTGTTTCAACCAAACCCATTGTGCTGCAAATACTTGAATGACATATGTGGTTGCCTTGGTTTCAAAATAAATGTGTCTTCTGGATTCATTTCTATTCTACCCTTCTTTGCGCCTGCGCGGCTTCCAGGCGCATCCGTATGCACTGACCGGGCCCAGGAGCTTGGTGTGCTTTCAAGGCATCGCGTCGACCTGGTGCCGAGCAGCATGATGCCAGGAGTATCACATGACCCTTTAGGCATTTTGTATATTCACTACAGAACCCATTTGCATATTCATGTTGTGAATCGTACACGTGCGCTATGTAATAGATGTTTTGCAGTACGTTCTTCGGTTGAGTAAAAGTGGCGCTTCTTTGGAAACGATCGGTTCGTGTAAGCATGCAAAACATGCATGACCTTCTAAAAGAATGCTTCCTCTTATGGCCTCTGGCTAGTGCCAGGCACCCTTCAAGCCTACCCTTTACCAACCAAAGGGTACAAAATCCCAAGCCTTTCAAGCCCGGTCAAGCCTGTCCAGCCACAGCCACGTGGACAGGACACTGGCAGCTCATCCAAGAGGCTACGCAAAGCCTGAGAGTTTGAGCTTAAGCTGGGAGCCAGCGAGGTCGGTCTTGAAACAATCTAAGCAGTTGATCAAGCTGTTTGGTGAGGAAGTTCCAAAAGAAACTTTCAAAAGAACTCTTGAAAGAGCTGCCTGGTGAGGATGCAAGTCTGCGAGGTGCATCTCTGCGCGGCAGGTGGGGCAATGCCCTACTGCGGAGGAAGAGGAGCTCTTCTCCTCGCTGTCCTTGAAGCAGCATTTTGAGTTCTTCACAACAACATAAAACAACCCTTTGATTGCATTTGATTGCTATCCGGCAGATAAACATCAATACTGATCCAAAAGAACGATCTGCGATCGGGCAGGAAGAAGAATCGGAAAAAACAAACAGTGTTGTTGAAGGCTCCGGATGCTATAGCGATGCACATTCCGTAGTTGAGTTCTCCAACAATAATCAAAAGAAACACAATAGCGATGGCCTCCAACCTACTTGCGATGGCCTCCAACCTAATAATTAGCAATGGCGTTTGGAGGAAACCGCGACAATCACAAATGAAGCCCCGGCACCAGGGAGGACTCAGCCACCAAGCATTGTTCCACACAGCCGCGGCAGAAGACATGCTGACAAGGCCGTCCACCACAAAACACTGGATCTTCAAAGATCTCAAAGCAGACCTCACTCAGAACTTAGCTGCTTGTCCTCTTCAACTTGAACTAATTCAACAAACATGTTCCAATAAATCAATATGCAGTGGATATGTACCCGCAACATAGTATTAAAAACACCTCGGGTGTTGTCAAGTTCTTCAAGCCCATCAATTTTGTTCAATTAGTAGCGTCCTTGCTCCTAGTAGTAATGCCAGGAGCTACTAGTAGCGTCTTTGCTCCTAGTAGCGATGCCCTTTGTTACTTGCGTAGCGTCCAAGGTTCGGGGCATTTAAGAGTTTCGGAGATGGCTTCTGGGTGCAGAAATTCTGCATCGCTAATGCCCATCGCAGCATCAATGATCGTCCCTAAGCTACTCTAGCATTGAATGCGTTGTCTACTCGGTAGTGTGTTGCATGGCGTGCGCATGGCCCAATCCCACTTACTGTAATTGCTCGTCATAGGGCATCTTAGGCGTCATCCCCTGTTGCTGCCAACAAGCAAGGTTGTTCCTCCTTTCCTTTGTTCCATCTTTTCTTCTTTCCTATGAACCTGAAACTTTAGACATCCTACTTTCTGATAGGTGCCTTGTAATCAACACTTCTACTTGCAGGTGATGCAGTACGACCTCTCCTAGACTACCTAGATCTGCCTTCTACCGCGGAGCCATGCTTCTTTTCCGGGTGTACGCCGACTTTTTGTTCACATGGCTCGAATGCTTGGGCCAAAAGGATAGCAGTGAGTTGAGGAAAAAGAGGGAACTATTACGTTGTTGTTGCCAAACACGTCCAGTCGGCTATCCGCAGCAGAAGCATCCAGCTAGCGTTGGTTCTCAACACTCACAAAACGAGGCTGTGAATAACACCAGGCGAAAGATTCGGGAATCCAGACTCCCTCTTGCTGATCCTCGGTAACTCTGGTGTGAGACCAGGCTCTGACGCGAACAATGTGGCAGCGGGTTGCCGCGCCAAGCTGGGCTGCAAGTTGTTTCCAGGATCCACCTGTCAGCCGTTCTGCCATTCTTATGTGCTTCTGTCTTTTCATGTTACGTCATTTTAGGCCGTTAGACTCTAGACATGTTTTTCTTCCATTCTCTTTTTGTTTGCATCTCATACCAACGTTGCAAAGATTGACAATGTTCATTTGCAATGTGGGAGACGTGGCAACATACATGCACTGTAATCTTTTCTTGAACGGGCATGAATGACATTCAGTGACCGGGCCCCCAACACAGTTGAATGCAATGGGGAAACTCGTCTTCTCGTGCAAAGTTCCAGGCCCAAACTCTTTAGACACCCCTTGCTAATGATCATTTCCTGGAGCTAGTCCTTTTCTCTTGAGATCTCTTGAGGCAGGTTGTCCATCCAACTTGTAATTGCTCCTTTCTACACTCATTCATGCATCTTGCAGCTGGATCTGTACAAAGCTGCCAGGCAAGGGATGACGCCCCATTTTCAGGCTCAACCTTGCCTGCTCGAACGTCTCGAAGGTCTTTGACCGGCGTGGCATTCGCACATTTTTAACATAGTTTGAGCATGTTTGAGCTCAGCAAACTCATGCAACTCTATGAGCAGCGCTGCAGGCTCTCCACATTTGCATCCACACGGGGTGTGCGCAGAAGCAGCCACAAGCATCACCGGGCAAAGAGGAAGCCCCAACACCAGCCAGGGCCAAAACATGTCAGGTTGGGCCTGTGTTCCGTGGTTTCCCGTGGAATACGGATGTCTAATGATTTTATCGAATCTAATATAGAAAGGTAGGGACAGTGCACAAACTCCGTGAACGGGCCTATATACAAGGAAGAGTCTCTTCAGCGACACTCAGGTCGTGAGCACTTCTCATGCGACACCCTGTAAGAAAATGACCTCAGCCGGAAATGTTAGAAAACGACATATATATATATATATATCAGAATCTGAACCAAGTACCAACTTGGAGGTTCATCAATTCCACCGTTACAATCAGTCATAATCTGTTCTGTGAGTTTCCTGTCCAAGTCACCCAAGGCACAGGGACCTCAGATGCAGTGACCAACAAGCGCCCCTGTTGCACCCGGTCGCCCACGAAGGAGACCGCAATTGGCGCCTGAAGAGTGTTTGGCTTTGCATGTCCCAATTGCCTTGTCCCCCTACCTAGAAGCAACGGCCTTCAACCTACTAGCGATGGCCTCACACCTATTGAGACGAAAGGCTTCCAACCTAAGAGCGATGGCCACCAACCTAATAGCGATGGCCTCCAACCTAAATAGCGAATCTAACATAAGAGCGATGGCCTCCAACGTACTAGCGATGGCCCCCAACCTAATAGCGAAGGCCTCCAACCTACTAGCGATGGCCTCCAACCTAATAGCGATGGCCTCCATACAATCAGCGTTTCATCTCTTGCCCACTTCGACATTCGATCTATTTCCAAAGCCGAACACTGAGGCTTTGGCAGACTTCTTCCCGTCCAATTTGAAGGTCTTCTGCGTGACTTGGAAGCTGGGGTTGTCCACCTCACGTTTCGAAGAGCAAGAACTCTAGGATGCTCTAGGCTCAAGGAGAACGTTCGTGCAACGGCTAGACACGCGGAGAAACATGCAGAAGCCATTTGTCAGGTCATTATGTTTCGAACATTTCGGTGATGTCGTTTCGTTCGTAGCCCTTCTAAACGCAAGGCCTTCTAGCACCAGTCATCGTAGCATTAGTCGTGTTCATGACGGGTAGAGAGGCCGAGAATCTTGGTGAAATCAACAGGCACGTGCAGAGCTGCTGACCCCCAATTGTCATGAACTGATGCAACTGATGCGCAATGGTCGAAGAGGTGTCCAGCTTTACAGTCTGGTACTATCTGGTCAAGCTTGGCTTGACACCTCCCCGGGCCACCCTGGCCTGGATGGAAAACTCCACGGACTCCATGAAGGGGTTCTGAAAGTCCACATTGCTGGGTTTTCCCTGACATGTTGGGAAAAAAGTTGAGGCAAAAAAAAGGAAACATCTACACTGATAACTTACATTTAGAAAAGAGAGAACAGAACGCGTTTCTTGTATTTTACTTGTATAAGTCGAGGTGGCAAGTGACAACACAGCTACCACAGGCCTTCGGAATGTCGACCGGACCTTGTGGCTGTGGCGGCTGGGAGTATCCCACCAACAAAGCCTCCAACACTTCAAGGTGCCACAGTTCCAACTTGCCAAGAGTTCCGACTTCCGAACAGAACATTGGGAAGTCACGAAGCGCTTTGCTAGTAATTTCAATTCCAATTCAATTCTTCTTGTTACTACTAGTAAGGCACGTGTTACTAGTAGCGATGCACTTGTTACTACTAGCTTCTTGTTACTACTAGTAGAGTTCCGACTTCCGAACAGAACATTGGGATTCTGTTGGATTCCGTGAGGACATTGACCAGATTGGTCTTCCAAACTTGCAGTCGAACGAACACAACTCTGCACTGCACATGCCACTTCAGTTCCTTGTGCTCGCCGACTTCAGACTTCACGACGAGTAGAGCACGAATCTCTCCCAATTGGGAAGGCTGGAACCGGACCTTATTTGCAACTGGATGTGACTTTCACACTCGATGGAACACTGATCCTATGGCCGCCTTCATTTGGTGCAGGGTGGATGATCAATGTTATTCATCTTTTCTCTGCACATCATCTGCATGCCGGGATACGGCCACGCACACTTCAAGTCCATCTGTACCAGCTGCCTCGGCTTTGATCTCCTGGACACTGCACCGGAGTAGCACAAAAATGGCACCTAACAGTGGAGGCCGTCCCTTCTAGGTTACTAGGTTGGAGGCCATCGCCATCGTTTCTAGGTTGGACGCCATCGCTAGTAGGTCGGAGGACATTGCTATTATTTCGTTGGAGGCCATGGCTTCTAGGTCGGAGGACATCGCAATTAGGTTGGAGGCCATCGCTATTAGGTTGGAGGCCATTGCTATTAGGTTCGAGCCGATCGCTTTTAGGTTGGAGGGCCATTAGTAGATTGGAGGCCATCGCTTCTAGGTTGAAGGCCATCGTTCTTTGGTTGGAGGCCATTGCTATTAGGTTCGAGCCGATCGCTTCTAGGTTGGAGGCCATCGCTAGTAGGTCAATGTGTTGCCCTCCCAACCTTTTGCACCCAGGGTCCTTCGTTTCAGGAACGAAATCTCCAGGAACTGCTTTCTGACCTGATGGCTCTGACTATAGGAAAGAATGTCGGAAAAACAACGGGAGCTTGCCGTTTACCACTTGAGGCAAGACCAAATAAAAGTGGGTGGTGACCGCCGGCTTTCATTCAGACCTACACATGCGACCGGCCTGGCGCTGCTTCGACCGCAGCAGTGAAAGTGAGAGCATGCGGGGCAAAATGGTGGAACCTCGGCCAAGCAACACATCGTTGGTCCGTCTGTCCAAGCTCTGCCTGTTCCAAGCTTTGGGGAACGTGCAAAAAAGACAAAATCCCGTCTGATTGCTCTGAATTGGGTTAACAGGTCCTTAGTCATAGTCCTTGCCCAAATCCCTCATAGCTTGCTTGGTCACGACTCAGGTCGTTCCTGTTCGAGGTCCGTACCGGAAGGGGCGTGTGCAATCCGCAGACCCCAAGGGAGCCTTGAAGATAATGGTCTTGGCCAAGCCAGGCAAACCTGGCAACAAGCTGTAGCAAGAACGCTACTGAAACCTCCTGGCATCACTACTAGGAGCAAGGACGCTATTAGGGGCTCCTGGCCTTACTGCTAAGAACAAGAACGCTATGAATGAGAAAGGACCCTGAAATGTCCAAGGTGCCCTGAAATGTCCAAGATGATCCACCGTGCGGACGAGAATGAGGATGAATGATAAAATATGAGGACGGATGAGAGAGTGAGGACATGAGAACAGAGGATGAGAAGGATGAGAGTCCAAAGCAGGGTGGACTCAGGTAGCCCATGCTATCTTGATCAGGAAAAACATCATCCAAAATCAATTTGATGCACGTGATCCTAAAGCCTCCCTCTCTCGTTTGCCTAAGGGTCTCCCTCTTCCAGTCAAATGAAATGAAAAAGCCCCTAATAGCGTCCTTACTCCTAGTAGTGATGTCCTTTGCTCCTAGTAGCGTTCTCTATGGATATGCTCTGATATCACTTCAGCCCTTTCACCCGTCTTTTGGCCTGAAGGTTTGGCTGCTGGCTCCTCGTACCTCAAGTCGAAACTCTTAAAGCTGATGTATTTCGCCGCTGTGCAAGGCTTCCATTCCACCCTCTGCACCACTTCACCACTCAAATCAGCCGAGTCTCGGGATGCTGTCAGTGACCCCACCTGGCAACTACATTGCAATGCATACTCCTTTTTTAAAGAGGAGAGTAGGCCGCTAGCAGAGGTAGCTAGGTAGCTAGTAGGGAGAGATGCTACTTACTTCAAAGTTTCAGTAAAGTGGCTTCGAGCATCTTTAAGGCGCATTCACTGTCGTTGCTCTGAAATCTCTGAAAGGCAAAGCGACATTTAAAAAGATGCATCAAGAACCTTGCGCAAAACCATATTTGATGCTAATTCATCTACTCCTGCGGGCTGCTTTAGCCTGCTAATGCCGGGAACTCACGTCCTTGCAGATCTTACAGGTTTGGGGATGCCCCTACAAGTGTCACTCGCTTCGACTCGCTCTCTTGCATGTTTTCTTCAAAGGAGTTTTCTAATAGTGATGGTCCTGGCCTCCAACCTAATAGCAAAAGGAACCGATCTTCCTTTCCTTCTCTGATTGTTTCTGTGCTCTCTTACATCAAGCCTTCATCAACTGGTCCGGGCTCTGCAGGTTGGCTCGGTTCTATGGGTGGCCTCGAGGAGGGAGCAGTTGTGGGCTGAGAGCGGGCTGAGCAGTCCAAGAATGTGCTCAGAATTGCTCAACAAGTCTCAGCCCACCTGAAAGAATGTCCAAACAGCGACAAGGTGTAGCCGGTGTCCTCAGGACCTTGTCACAGTTATCAGATCTCACAAGTTCTAGCCACGAGAAGTGTACCGCCGCTTCAGTACCATGGCCTGATGGAATGCGCATCTGCAGTGAAGCACCATCAAGTTTGTGCACATCCATTGGCGAGTACTCTACGATGATTGCCTTAGGCCAACGGCGCTGCGGCTCAAAAATGCTTGATACGCCGGTCCGGTGGCCTTGCCATGCGTCAGTGCAGCTGCTTTCTTATTGAAAATCTCAGAATCGCGCCGTTTCGCTGTCCTGGGTGATGACACCCTGCTCCGGCGTGATGGTCAAATATGGAGGCGCGTCGGATTGTGGGAGCACTACCCGCCCGAAGGAATTGCGCATCTGCCACACAAAATAGTAGCCTCAGCACATATCAAGTCATCATGAACAGCATTCCACACAAAATAGATAAGGCTTGGCGGGTGCAAATATCCTACAGAAAAAGGAAACATAAATTTCATGTGCACCCTTAAACATCTCAAACCAAGTGACGTGCCGGCAACTGATCATCATCAAAGCGAGGCCCTGGTGGGCTTGGACTGCTCAGTTTCAACGTGAAGCTTCGTCGTTCCTCCGCCTGACTCTGTTTGCCGCACACGAAGGGCCCTCCCTTTTCCGAGTGTAAGGCAGGTCAACCACGGACTCGCAAGGAACGAAAGAGACAAAATCGAGTTGTCGGGTTGCAAGACCATTGTGCAATCGGCAATAAAACAGGAGTAAGGCATGATAAGGCATGGCATTCCCTAGTCCCCTGGCAATTCGCATCGATGTTCGCTCGCCTGCACTTCTCCAAAGTCCAAGAGCTCCTTTTCAGTCATTCCCATCATGTGATGACTCATGGAATAATTAATGCGCTGTGGCTTAGCTGGAAATAGCCCGTCCTTGACTCCATTTCGCAATTCTCTGCCTTCCTCACCTTCTTCCACCACCAGCTTGGTATGTATTCTATAGCCTGACTTCACGGCACAAGCACATCCGGAAACATGTCAGACAAGACATCTGTGCCTTCACCCTTAATGTTCAGCAAGACTGGCTTCTGCTTCCGCTTCACCGTGCAAACAACCTGGAAACCGTCAAAACCGCAAGATCATGCCCCTTTGACCTCTGGTGTGAGAAACATGCACCCCCCCAAAAAAAAGGCACAGACTCTCATTTTGAGAATTCGATTTAGGGCATCTTTCTGAAGACTTCGGCAACTGTGTCATGCTGCCAAGTGTCATTCAAGTTGTAGAATTTCTCCTCATTCGGAGAGAATCTCACTTCCACCGGGAAGGACTCACCTGCAAATCTGAACTGAATCACAGATTGCTTCCCCGCAGTGGACCTGAGGACCTAACTCATGTTCAACTCCTTTTCTGTCTCTCAGGGATCTCAAGGCCCTTTTGGTTAAGCCCACCTGGTGGAATGACTCCAGTCTTTGGATTTAGCTTGAGCGCTGGATGCCCTGCAGCACGTTCAAAGGAGAAGTTCAACGGAAGATTTTCCTGCAAGCACGGAAGGAATAGACAAAGTGTGACAAAGCCATATCAGTCACAAAGCATCATGAGCATCATAGTGATTGTTTGTTTGTCATGAGATCGGCATCTCATGAACAAGCACATAATACATGGTGACATGAAAGTCTCGCCGCCTGGTTGATGAGGTTGACCTTCTCGGTCATCTTCGCACCCAAAAGCAGCCGTTTGAACTTGATGCAAGGGACGTCGAAGCCTTACCCCGTCCGCCACATGAGACAAATACATATAAGTCAAAGGACAGTGTGACAATCTTAAACCAAGACAGCATAACATATTGATTTATGTATTTATATACATATGCCAACACGCGCACATGTTATATCTGAATATCACACACACAAGAAATTTTTGAGTTATTGTACATCTACACAAAGGCACATAGCGTATTATCTACTTTTCTGGCTGTAGATATGATATACACTAATCTGAGAAGAGGAAACGAAAGCCAGGAGGAGCCAGCAGGTGACTTTTTGGCGCACATGCAATACACATGCGTGACCTAAAGGGTGCATTTGGTCTACTCTAGTGACTCTAGTGCGGATATGATGCTAGTGATGCAATATCTCATTCACGCATCACCAACCCATCAAACATTACCTTGTGGAAAATTAAAACCCAGCAGGCTGATATGGTTTACATCCACTTTTCCCCATCTGCCCCCCCCCACCCTAAAGGCTCACTTCGCTCGCATAGACCAACTTCAGCCTAGCCTATCGGCTGGCTTTCGTAATATTTTATATAGTTATATGCTTCTACAATGTTATACACACTACCGGATCAGCAAATCCATGCAAACCCCCTCAATGATACCCCAATCCGTGCATCCTCAGCATCCGGTGTTTGCCGAGTGGCCCACCCTTGGTTCCTTCACCGTGCCCACAAGCAGAAATGGTTGTGAAGCCTGCTTGGCAGGAACTGAGAAGACCCAGCGTGATTCATAGGTCTCCGGGTCCTCGGCACCATAGCGTGAACAAATGCTAGTAACAAGTGCATCGCTACTAGTAACACGAAGCTACTAGGTTGGAGGCCATTGCCATTAGGTTGGAGGCCATCGCTACTAGTAACAATGGCATTACTACTAGCAACAAGAAGCTATATCTGAATGTAATTGTCAAGTGCCACAACATCGCACATCTCTCCCTGTGTCCACCTTCACAGGACAAGAACTGCTCCAACAAACGCAACCCTGCTTTCAATGACGCGTGGCCGTTGGCAAGTATTCGAAGAGCATCTCAAACTTCTTCCCCGGCAGGATTGTACCACGCCTGTGGATAAAACTCAAATGCAGAGTTTAAAGGAGTGATTCCCCTCAAATCCAAAAATCTAATACTGAGTCCCAGACTTGGTCAAGCAGCGGAATGGATGGGAGAGTGTTGTTGCTTGCTCTTTTTTCTCTGGCTCTTCTTGTATCCAATTGAACTCGTAGGAGTCAGATGTGGGATTCAACACCTGCGAGGAGCAAAGAGATAGATGTTCTCATGGCAATGGACATCAAGGCGGCCAAGGGGCATAGAATCGCTTGATGTTGCGTACTTTCGTGCCGAGGGACTCGCATTCGATGATCTGGCGTTCCGGATTTCGTTTCACTCGATCGAACGGGCACTCCTTCCGCTCGGTCCGTGCATCGAGCGGGTCGGGTCCGTCGCCTCGTATTTGGGATCCAATGGTTCTTCCGCTTGCCGCATGGCGCGATAGTCACTGACCGGAACCTGTCGCAAGGACGTCCCAATCGGATGTGTCCGACATCGCAAGAAAGGCCACCAGGTTTCAAATCATTGTATCGCATGCGGCCAGGACTTGTGGGGACAAAACCTTATATCACCCTGGCTGGACCATAGAACCACGATGAAACTTCGCATACGATGAGCACAGCCGCCTGAACAACATTGAACACCCGTGCTTCCAGCTGCTCTTGCGGCAAGACACAACCTAATAGAAATGGCCTCCAACCTAGTAGCGATGGCCTCCACCCTAAGAGCGCTAACCTCCAACCTAATAGTAGAAATGCCCTCCAAACCAATAGCATCCGAGCGCCTCAAAGTGGCACCAGGGCCGCAAAGCTGAACCATTTAAAGGGATTCGCAGGGGCTCCTGACGGCCAAGATCCATGGTCAAAATTCTCACAAGAGGGATGTTGAGAGGTGGGCAATTCTCACAAAAAAAACATACAAATCTCAAATTCAGCGCCCCATCGTCTCTCCAAGTCTCTCCACTCCTTAGCCATTGTCCATATGACGTCCGCACCACAGAGCTTACAGCTTACATGGCTTACATCAACCTAACAGCGCTACTAGGCTCGAGGCCGTTCCGAGGTTGGAGACCATCGCTAGTAGGACCCATTTCAACATGAAGATCCCGAGCCCTGTGGCTCTGTGGCATCCGTGCATCTTCTTCCGCCTACGACTCTGCCCCTCCTCTCGCGGCCTACGACGCCCCAAGAGGACAGCGAGTCACTGAGGGAGCCACTCTTTCTGAGGTTTGTTTACTTCTCTGTTACGTCTGTTTGCTTTCCAATTCGCCCGGAATCATCGAAAAAAGGGACTATATAGACTGACAGTTTTGATACTATATAAACAAACTGCTTCCGTGTTCTTTGGGCGACCCCGCGAACCCGAACAACTCCGAATAGCTCCCAAAACAATTGGCTCCTTCAAAGGCATTCGGCTGTCCTTGGATGAAATGTGTTCACTCAGCTGCCAACTCTCGCTTTGCACTCCTGAAAGCCTTTGCAAGGAGGGTCTCATGACCGAAACCTCTCCCTATAGTATAGGGCCAATGTATATAAGAACTTCCACCTCCAAGCAGCCATCCCTCTACTCACTATCATTGAAACACGTCCACTATCATTCAACCACGGAGGCCATCGCTAGTAGGTTGGAGGCCATCGCTATTGGGCTCTTCTTGGAAAAATGAAATACATATATATATATGTGTAAATATGATAATATGATTAAATATATGTGTGATTCACCTAGCTGATGCAGCTGTGCATCCAAGACTGCGGAAAAGTCCTCGACCTCTTTGGGTGCGAATCGGATTTCGAACTCTGCAGAAGCACCCGCCGCAATCGTCCCTCCGCAGGAGACATGGAAATCATGCTCCAGCATGGACAGCAGAAGGAATGGAAAGTCAGCATGGACAGCCAAAGCTGCAGGTTTGCAGTTCGATCAGCATGGCCTTTGGGTGGTGTGATTGAATAAGGTAGAAGCCCGGTGCGTTCTCTCTCCTGATGTTCAGAATGTTTGGTCGCTCAAGGGGGCCCTCTATTCGCATGATCCAACAGCATCTCCTCCATCGGCACCACGCGCCAGTTGTAGGGAAGAGCAATGGACGAAGGGTTCGAAACCTCAAAGTCCAGAACATGCTGAGATCTGGACATTGTCCTAGGGAGCCACAACCCCGGAAAGCAGATGCCTATCCAATTCTTCTGGTCAAACTCCCCACCAACTTGAGACGGGTTTGGAAGGATCATGTCTTGCCAATGCTTGATGGCCATCCGGATGGAGTGAACTTGGGGACCGTGCTGGGTACATCCAATGGACACGATGGCCATCCGCGGAGCACGGGACGAAAAAACGTCACGGGAGCACCACGGGTCGTTCGATGCATTCGATCCTGGGAGCTCCCATCATCGCAGTAAGTGCTTCCAAGGAGCTGTGAAGCGGTACAAGCGGCTCTGGAAAAGTACCGTGGCACTGAAGTAGATGCGCTCAACACCGCACTCATATGACATCTCATCTGCAACTGCCAAAGTCCTGGTTGGACATGAGCAAAACAACCGATATTCAATTTCCAGGTAAATCTACTGGATATCTACAGTCCCTTGCACCTGGTAAATCAACTTCCTTCCCCCCACATTCACAAAGGCAAATTTCACTGTCTTCCATGCTAGCTTGGTTTGGGAACCATTCAGCTGGCCTGAGCGGCATTTCTCGCGCCGATCCATCCACCACGGTGTGCGGAGGTTCTGGATCAACCTAGCCACATCCGAACGCATATGAAAGCTACGCAGACCATGCAAGTTTGCTTGATCTTGATTCACTCCAGGAGAGCCTCATCAGCATCCTGTGTATCTGCCGCTTTCAAATGCCAAGCATTGTCCCAGTCCTTCAGGTTCCCAGTCCCAACATGGCCGTGCATGGCTGCACAGGTCCAAACGATGGTCACATCTTGTCCACCTCTTGTATCCATATAAGTAACGCAAAGAACGAGGCCTGAAATGCTCAGAAATTAAGCCCAAGACCTTGAACTTGTTTAAAGGTATTCTGATCCTTTTTCTGTAGGTCTTTCTTCTTTCATTTCTTCAAACTTATCTTTTTTTTTCTCCTTTAGGCCTCTAGACTCTAGACCTTTCTTCCATTTGTCTGGCTCTTCTCTTCTTTCTCTTCCTTCCTCTTCTTTCTTTAGACCTCTTTGGAAAGGTGTTCGATGCTTCTTGATGCTCCTCACCAAGAACTTATGTCCAAGCCTCACCACAATCGTTCATTAATTACTGAAAGTAGCCATGAAAGTTCAATTGGGCGTCCTCTTCTTCCTCAGGCACGATAGAAGCCTCAAATGTTCAAAGTGAAACTACATCCAATACATGAATCATATGTATTCTGAAATGTCCTTAGTCACAAGAAGCTAGTAGGTTGGAGGCCATCGCTACTAGGTTTCAGGCCAATACTGCTAGTAGCAAGGTAGCAAAGGGCATTATTCGATTGACATCGCCAACCTGACGCTTTGCGTCAGGTCGCAGCTTCAGTTGCAAAGTGCCACCCCCAAAGCGTCCATTGCAGATAGGAAGCGATTTGCACCGGGATCGACACATCCGCTTTCATTGACGCTGGTGGTTCATAGGTGAAGGAAATCCTGAGTGATGAAAAAAAGGGTCAAACGCGGAGTTCGGGAGCAACTCGCAGTCGAAATAACAATACCAGCTTGTCAGACAGCTGCACGAATTGCACAGAAAGAAGTGCAGTTGCCAACAACAATGTGTGAGGTGGGACGCCTGCCAGTGTAGGAAACAAACTGGTGAACCCAAAGGCATCTGTTATGGCCCATTTCACATCAAAGGTTCTGCTTCTTCATGCCCGGAAGAACGTGGCCAATCGAAGGCACGATCCTCATTCCCGGGTCCATGAGTCATGAGTGAGGAATGAAACGCTAGTAGGTTGGAGGCCACCGCTATTAGGTTGGAGGCCATCGTTGTTGGGT